TAATATATATATATATATATTATTTTTTTTTTCCATTCTTTGGAAGTCAATGGTTACCGGCAATTGTTTGGTTAACAACATTCTTCAAAATATGCTATTTTGTGTTCAACAAAAAAAAAAAAAAAAAAAAAAAAAAAAAAAAAAAAGACGATATAATCGCGTGAAGATATCGTTTGCGATAATGACAGCTGTTTACGTAGCTTCTCAGTGAACTACGGCGCTGTGTAGTAAATGCTGTTCCATCTGAAAGCACGTGAAAATACCACATTTAATAACATGTTTTTACTCCAAACTCACTTCATAACGTCAGTCGAGTGTTAATAAATCCTTCTGAGAGATGATGTGCTTCTTACACAGAATAAGGCATGCAACATATTTCATAGTATTCTAAGCAGTGATAAAGGCTATGTCGATTAGCATTGCATTATTATATACTTTATTATAATGAAAATTATAATAATAAGAACTAAGATAAACCATATATTGTCGTAGTCGTGTGTTTATTAGTCACGCTGAATCAATGAAAGCAGTTAAATCTTGTTTATTCAGCTACCACTATAGTGATTTCCTGGGTTTCTTCTGCGCGGCGTATTTTGAGTTTCTCTGGCCTTCAGATGGAGATTTACTACTGATCACAGAACCGTGCTTCACTGACAAGATGCGCATGGCAATCACAGCTTTTGCCTAAACGCGATTGCGATTTAATTTCGATTTATCATGCAGCCCTACTTATAACCATACCTAAAGTGGCATCGGTGACGTTAGTACCCATCACTACATTATCTCCCCTCCCTGGGTGGGCAAAAGTAAAATCACTACAAACAGTTTGTGCATTCAGTGACTGTAATGCACACCTTCCAGCCAACCAGAATCTAGTATTCAGACATACCATGGTATCAACGTTTTTAAAATGGATTTATTTTAATATTCATTTGATGTCACTAAAATGGGTTTTCAACATCTTACTCCCAACTACAACTGCAAATGAAGAGGAAAAAATAAAAGAGGTCTGAAAATGCTGATCTGCTGCTTGTTTTTAGATTGGACAAAAGAACAAGGAAACCAAGCAAAACAAACCAACGCATTATATTTCAGATGAACGTGAGGAATTTAAAGCATTTGAACTTCATGGAGGTCCTCTGTGCTCGTAAAATAAAAACTGTTCCCCAGAGTCTGTGTCCCAGTGAGGTTCAGCGAACTGCTCTCTGATGCTCGTTCTCTAAATGAGTCTCAGCATCGTGTCACACATACGCAAAGAAAGCCTGCTGGCCGCTGGAGCTCAGAACTTCAAGCTGAATCCTGGACCGGCTTTGGAGGCGCCCTGGTTAGCAGTGGTCAAATGGAAACCAGTATCTTTAAGATCATCATCACCCTGAAGAGAACAACAGAAAGATGAGAATGAGAAACAATAACCAGGAGTTTTAGGAAGACAAAGAGCAGCTGAATTGATCCTCCTTCTTGGTCAACAGAGACCAAGGTCAAGATGAATAAAGTCAATAACACACACTGATCAATCATTTAGGAACATGCATTCAAGGCAGCAGAGTTGGTTTTGATTTCACGTTGAAAGAGTGTCTGTACCAGCTGGCTGAAGTCCTGTCCTCCCTCCGGCGGTCGTGGGCTCGTTCCTCTCTTCACCCGCTGCTGTTCGCTCTTGGCCGGCCATGTGGGGAACATGGAGGGCTCGATGGGGAGCGGCGACTCCCGGAAATACTCCTGTTTAAGTGCCTCATCGGCACTGATCCGCTTGGCAGGGCAGTACGTCAGAAACCTGAGACAGAAAGCAGACATGTGAAAAAGTCTCGTGTCACTGCAGGAACTGTAATCGAAGGTGTGAGGTTAAAGGGTCTAGGGATGTGCAACAGTGATCGAGTACTTGGCCGTGACAGCGACGATTGATCTTTTTTTTCCCTGATTGTTTATAGCAGCACTTTGGGCGGCACCCTGAGCTCTGATTGTTTAGCTGGCCACAGCATGCGGTCCAAAGCATAGATGTGAGAAAAGAGAAGCATGGCTTCGAAGTCACGCAGTGATGTCTGGGTTAGCTACATACATATCTGATTAATCTAACATAGGATGCGTTGAGATATTAACATGCTGAATGCGCTGCATATTACCAGTGTTTAGTTTCATGCTCAAATGCACTGCCCGATCATTGACTGTTATTTGAGATGGTCATATTGCTTTAGATGTTTCTTTTTTAAAAATACTGATGTAAAATAATGCAGCAGTGCCTTTTTCCCGTCATATTTGTTCAACAGTAGGCATACTTCAATTACAATTGTTTTTGTACTTCGTATGGGTTCGAAAACGTGCAGGCAATTTCAGGAATCACTTGATAATGTAGATGAAAATATAGCACAAATCTGTCATAAACATAGCATTATAATGAGAACTTTATAGAATGCGAAATCTATAGAAAATTCTGTCTGTTTTCATTGCCCGTGTTTCAGCGTGCTGTAATGAAAGTGCATCATAGAGGGAGCTCTCGCTCTCTCGCTATAGCGCGTAACAAAGTTCACTGGTATTTGCATCCTTTTGTGCAGATACAAGTTGTAATGTTACGTCTATGTTATGTTATCTGGGCCCATATTCACAAAACATCTACAGGCTAAAAGTAGCTCATAACTCGCAGATTTAAAAGAAAATCTTAAAAATAATGGGCGTGTCAGTCCTAAATTTAGGACTCCTAAATGTTTGCTCTAAGAGTATTTCACAAAGCGTTTTGGCTCTAAAACTAGCTCCTAAATCTGTGAAAGGTTAGGAGCAGTGAAGAGGAGTCCTGAGTCACTAAGACCAAGCCACAAACTATCCTAAAATAGCTGTTGCTGGCAATCTGTCTCTGAACACAAACATTTTAGAAACATTTGAGGATAATGAGCTTTTAAAAAGGTATCACCTTTGGTTTTGGAGGTTACCCCAACTCCAGATTTTCCTTTGATTATATCCTCGTTATCATTAAGCAGCTGGGCAAGAAGTAACAGCTCTTCTTGCGTCCAGTTTGGTTTTCTTTTACGTTTGCATGTCTTACTATCAGCCATGATTATTCTACTCCGTTAATTAAAAGGCTGTTTATATGCATATTCACTAATTATGAGAAGCACACATGTAAGAGGCTGACAATTAGCTGGACATATACTTGTTTAATTAGTGATACTTAAGGTCCTCGCACACGGAGTCCGAAATTTTCGCATGCGTTTTTCCGTTTTTTTCATATTCGTCATCCTTTTTTATCAAAATGCATGCTACAGATGCGAAAACGCAGAAAATCGAACTTGATCCAATTTCTTTTATGACGGATGAAAGTTTCGGAGGCAGTGTGTTAACGTGATTGACACAACATGGTCATATTTATTTTTTAACGTGCGAAAATTTCGGACTCCGTGTGCAATGACCTTTAGCATGCATTTTAAAATTTGAATGTTTTAACGTTTTGAATGATTTGGATGTGGCAATTAACATTTTTATTTTTGAACCTTTATTTGAATATGGCAACATAATATCGCGCTCTACAATATTTCTATGAATAAATCTCTGACAGAGACTATCAGCCAATCACGGTGTGCATAGTTAGTAATCATGCTGACATCATCCATAGCAACGAGGTGAACCCCGCCCCCTTACTCTGAGCTTAAGACTTCTCTCTGTTCCTTAGTACAAGTTTGTCTCAGCAGCTTTGTGAATAGGTTTCAAGAGAAAACTCTTAGTTAAAAACTTTTACTGCTATTTAGGAGAACTCTTAGTGGTAAGATAAAATGTTTTGTGAATACGGGCCCTGATCAATATCATAGGATGTGTCATAGAACGCGCATAATCATAATCTAACAGTGTTCTAATCATGTGTTCATGCTTTCATGTCATACTTTTAAAATTAATTTTATATCAGTCTTCAGATATTTTCATTATCTCCGTTACAGCCATGTCCCCATGTAAACACTGCTTGATCTGTGCAGATTTCTCTCCTGATTCAGACCAGAACAAAAAAAAAGGTTGGGAAACACTGGAGTGGTGTGGATTACTTGTGGATTATTGTGATGTTTTTATCAGCTGTTTGGACTCTCATTCTGACGGCACCCATTCACTGCAGAGTATTCACTGCTGAGACACTGATGCAATGCTGCATTTGTACAAATCTGAGTCTTAAAAGTCTTTCTACTCCTCTCTGTGTCCCATTCCCTCCGCTGCTCTCTCATATGAATGTGGTATTTGCAGTCAGGCTGTGATGGGACGTGACCTTTCAGGGCCGTCTGTGTGCATTAGCATCCCTTACATCAAGGCCTCTTAAACTCTGGAAACAAGAACCCCTTCAGAGATTTCAACTTGAGAAAGAAACTGAAAGTCAGAGACATCTGAAAATGAACAAACATCTCGTAGCGACGTTCAGATCGATGGCTGTTTATTTCCAAATGAATGATTCACGCTCGATCACACTGCTGCTGATGTTCCACAGGCTCAATGACAAGGTTTGTAAAGATCCAGAAATGCTTCAGGTTTCCAGAACAAATGTTAAATGTGTCTGTCCAACCAACTGCAGTTAAAGAAATAATTAAACTATATTTTATTTATATTTTACATAATACCATTACATAAAAGTCATGTGATCCTATTTGGTGCCTAACCCTCATTAAAGACACATGTGGTCACAGGGATGCATTTACTGGTACTACACAACACCTTCAAACGATTTCAATCACATTTATAACGTATCACTGTTCTGAGCCTTTTGTTTTTAACTCCAGTGTTTCATAATGTGAAGCAGCTGTTTCTGCACTGATGCAGTACTTCAGAAAAACAACGGCAACCAAAACACAGGCACTCTCCGTCTGTGCATAATAATGAGTTTCAGGCCAGATAACATGACGGCCACTTGTTGCTCAACTGCCACTCATGCTTTCATACCTCGCAAAGGTTTGATTTTCTGTGAAATATTCTACAATTCAGCGCATTTATCACCAGTGTAATGTTAGCTCGCTGGATGACAGAGATGAGCTGCTCACAATGACCTGTGACAGTCTTAAACTGTGACACTAACCAATCAGGAAATGTTTTGCATCATATAAAATCGTATTCAAGCAAAAGTGCATTACATTATAAAGGTTTGATTACCGGCTTCTTGCAAACTGAACTGGTGAAGAAAACTTTACATGTAATTAAAAACAGAAATATTTCTGGTAAATATAAAATTGAATTAAAATCACTGTGTGCACTCTTACTTGTTCATGAGGTCAAAGCCCTGGTCGGACAGCAGTGCTCCGAAGCGCTTGCGGAGGTTATTGTAGGGATATTCTGTGAAAGTCATCTTCTTCACCGCAGGCATCTCGCTGTATCCCGGCCAGATCTTCTCACTGGGAGACACACACACACACACACACACACACACACACACACACAGGAAGAGAGACTGTGAACATGTGAAAAATCAAAAACAAGGTTTAAGGCCATGTCATGTCATGTACTCCAGTACCATTCAATGTTTAAAAGGACCATATTATACTACTTTACAAGTTCATTATTCTATTTTTGGTCTGCAAGAACACATTTACATGATTTAAATTTAAAAACACATGATTTGTCTCGGTGTACATTGCTGCAGTGCCTCTTTTCACCCTGCTTTTCTGAAAAACTCTGCTCTGATTGGTCAGCGGGCCCAGTCTGTTGTTACTAATCAAATGCTTACAGCGTGTGCTGGAAATTTAACGCCTCTTCCCATTATTGTGTTTCAGCTCCCAAGGCTTCATAAGCAGTACTGTAAATTGGACGTCCATCTAATGTGTTTTGGCCCTTTCAGAGTCAACAGTGAATTCACTTGACCAACTGTTCTTTACATGAATCCCCACCCAAACTACAATGATTTTATTGGTAATCGCTTTGTGATTTTACAAAGAGATCACCAATAAATTATTTTGCATAATTCCCGTTCCGATGATTCTTTGACGCACACCAGCTGTGATTATCCCACTTATACAGTCATCACTCACCAGCATGGACAAGTTAAAGCTGTCATTAAAGTGTGGAGCACAAAATCAGGTAAGTTATTGGATCTACAGGTTATTAGACCTAGAATTCTGAAGTGAAATAAATGAATGTAGTAAGATTACATTTATTTGAATGAATCGGAGCAAGAGATGCATGTGAATTACCTGTCTGTGCAGCCTCTCTATAGTGAAACTGTGAGTTTAATTAAAAAACAGCGACATGATCACCTTGCTGAAAAATATAATGTAGCTTTTAGTAGCAAAGATATTTCATTTATAAAAATCAAGAGACAGCGGCTCAAAACAAGTTTCTGTGCTCCTGAATGTTTCTGTGTGCGCAATCGCTCATCTATATAAAGTTTCCACCTAAATTAAGAAGCAGAGTTTTTGTACGAGTGCATACAAGCAACATCTGCTTCATAATTTGGCATTTAAAAAAAAAAAGTTATCTTTGTGGGCAAATGTGTCGCCCTGGGATTGTGATGTCCTGGAATTCCAGCGGGAAATGGATACATGTGTCCAGATTGGATGTAAAACCACATTTGGAAATGGCTCAGGACGGATCCTAAAACAATGGATCTTGTGCAGATTATTGCGTTTACACATATGCAACGATATCTGATCTGTTGCATGCGAATAAAAAAAAAAATAATAATTTTGCATAATTTCTGCAGTTAATTTTTTTCTCTTTTTAACACCACCAGCTTCTATGGCTATGTTCCTGGTGAGAGCCAGGTTTAGTTATTCATATTCAAAAAAAAAAATAAAAAATTTTGCATAATTTCTGCAGTTAATTTTTTTTCTCTTTTTAACACCACCAGCTTCTATGGCTATGTTCCTGGTGAGAGCCAGGTTTAGTTATTCATATTAAAACTAAGATGTTTAGGAGTCATTTTCTCAAAAAAAACTTAAAAATAAATTTGGATTTACTTGATTAAAAACCCTTTCAAAAGTATCACCAGAATAAAACAAGTTTCTCACAGGAGTAGTTTTGATTGGTTCATGCCAGTACTGGCTCTTATCAGGTTAAAAAACTGGGTCGATCGATACCACAGTCCTCACTGACACTGACAGACATTATCGATTATCCATCTGCATACAGCTAAACTCATCACTTTAATATGACTTTAAAATGAATTCACTCTTAGGTTCAAGCATTCAATAACTGTATATACTGCACCATCTGGGCACCCATTAAACAGTAGGTTTGGGCTGCACTAATCCGATATATGGCATACTATACAAGATGGACAGCATTTCGTGTTTGCAGCTATAATGGAATAGATACATGGACATTTCTGCTCCAAAATCTATGGAAATATCTGTAAATGAGCAATGCATTTATGTGCACTTATGTTAAGTGATTCCTCCTGATGAGCTGGTAATATTGCTTATCAGAATGAATAAAAAAAAAGGTTTATTTGACTCTTCAGACATTCAGGATGTGATGAAGCATACCTTAAAAACTTTGTTGATTTGATCAATCTCAGATTTGCCAGGGAATAAAGGTTTCTGTGTGAGGAGTTCTCCAAATATACAGCCGACCGACCACATGTCCACAGCTGTGGAGTATTCCTGAGAGGAGGAAACACAAGCGTGACTCAAACAAGCTGACATGACTGCAAAACACTGGAGTTTATCCACAGCCCAGTGAGCAACATCTTCAACAGAGCATGAGCAAGATCAAACGTCCATTATCACCAGATTTACATAACATTTAGTCATTTAGCAGACACTTTTATCCACAGCGACTTACAAATGAGGACAATGGAAGCAATCAGAATCAACAAAAGAGTAATGATACGCAAGTGCCATGACAAGTCTCGGTTAGCCCAACGCAGTACAATTAGCAAGGTTTTTTTTTTTTTAAATTATATAATAGATAAAAAGAAAACAGATAGATAGAATAGAAAAATAATAGAGAAAGCTAGTGTTAGAGTTTTTTTTTATAGAAAACAAGCAGTTAGAGAACAAAAAGAGTGCAAGTCTTAAAGGGTCATGTTTTTTTTTTTTTGAATAAAAAAAGAAAACAAATATATAAAATAATTAGAATAGACAGTGCTACAGTTAGAGGGTCAAACAAAGATTTTACAGTTTTACATCTTGAACCAAACCAACCAGCCGGCATAATTTATTGCTTAATCTCAGAGCTCACGGCAGGTCCGTCTTAAAAGAATTAAACGTTTTTGTTAGGGATGTCCCGAGCCGATCTCAAGGAACGGGCCGATCAAGCAATTTTTTAACTGACCGGTATCGGCTCTCCTCATCCTGATCCTTAATTTACGTCAACTGTAATACCAGTGATGTGCAGTAGGTGGTGGTGTGCACCTTTAGGTGGGTTTGCTAACCGCCATTAAAAGGAAAGATGCTCAAATGTGTGTGCATGATGCATGAGAAAAAGTGAGATCTGTTCTAGTGCGTCACACACGTATGAGCTTCCGTGTTCAGTGTATTTGATGCACACTTTTGCGACGATCGTTGTCATAACGCGTTGCTATAGGCGGCTTCGGATTTGACTGATAGACTGGCATTCTGACACAGCAAGCTTCATGCTTTCTAACCTTATGTTGTAATTATTCTGCTTATTGGACATAATAAATACAATAATTTTATATCAGCAGTCCCATATTCATACAGGTGCATCTCAATAAATTAGAATGTCATGGAAAAGTTCATTTATTTCAGTAATTCAACTCAAATTGTGAAACTCGTGTATTAAATAAATCCAATGCACACAGACTGAAGTAGTTTAAGTCTTTGGTTCTTTTAATTGTGATGATTTTGGCTCACATTTAACAAAAACCCACCAATTCACTATCTCAACAAATTAGAATACTTCATAAGACCAATAAAAAAAACATTTTTAGTGAAAGGCTGCGGTTCTCTCGGTTGGTTGTGCATCTTTTTCTTCCACACTTTTTCCTTCCACTCAACTTTCTGTTAACATGCTTGGATACAGCACTCTGTGAACAGCCAGCTTCTTTGGCAATGAATGTTTGTGGCTTACCCTCCTTGTGAAGGGTGTCAATGATTGTCTTCTGGACAACTGTCAGATGAGCAGTCTTCCCCATGATTGTGTAGCCTAGTGAACCAAACTGAGAGACCATTTTGAAGGCTCAGGAAACCTTTGCAGGTGTTTTGAGTTGATTAGCTGATTGGCATGTCACCATATTCTAATTTGTTGAGATAGTGAATTGGTGGGTTTTTGTTAAATGTGAGCCAAAATCATCACAATTAAAAGAACCAAAGACTTAAACTACTTCAGTCAGTGTGCATTGAATTTATTTAATACACGAGTTTCACAATTTGAGTTGAATTACTGAAATAAATGAACTTTTCCACGACATTCTAATATATTGAGATGCACCCGTAATTGTGACGACACAGTCGGTTTACAACATCTACCATTGTAACATGTTTACATCTACCAATGTCTTTATATAGTGTGTGCATAGAGAGAGTGTGTCTTATAATTATATACCATTTTATATTATATATACATATAGAACTTTTACTCTCTGCACAACTCCGTATGCATTGGATTGATTTTAATAACTTTAATGTATTTGTATGTGCACCAAACATACATTTCTATAGGAATATACAAGTATCAGATCTGGACTCAGTATCAGCAGATTAATTACTCGGATCAGGGGACAAAAAACCTGATTGGGACATCCCTAGTTTTTGTTAAAAACTAGAACAAAAAATGGTGGGAACCCAATATTTGCTACCTGTAGTAGGGATGTGAAATAATGACAAAAATTCTGTCTATATTTTCTGAAATTTTGTCGATAATTAAGACAAAAGAAATTGATATATAGATTAGACAATATTTCGCGGAGCGTGTTATTGTGCTGGTAATTTAACAGGACTGCTGTGGACAGCTGACTCCCAGAGCTTTGGCTATTCTTCATATTCAGGGTGGTGATTTGTTTGAAGGAGTATCAGAAATTAGCTTTTCCAATAAGTTAAAATGCTCATAAAAGGTAAAAATCAATTAAAAAATGTATAAGGCCAAGAGTAATTGAGTCATGCATTCAACTGATTAATTTAAACAGCTGATCGATTCAGTAACGAAACACCATCATGTGTTGCTCAGAGACGCAAAACAGTTCTGCTGTGGCTTTGTTTGAAATTGAAACTATTTTCATTGGTGAAATACAGCAAAAACAGGAATTTGTCACTTCATATTAACTTCTTGTTTTGTGGACTGTTGTATAAAATCAATATCACATTTGCAATCGTGCTGATATTTGGAGAAAAACTGCACTCTTCGTGTGATATCAACTATATCAGATTATATAAATATAAAAGACATAACAGTCATACAAGGGCATTTTCGCCCCACATCTTGAATTTGGAGGAGTATTTTAACACACTGAATCACACAGTGAATGCAGTAGTCTAACCTACATCATGTGTATGTGCGCACTCTCTGGGTGTGTTTTTGTCTGGTTTTTGCGATATATTTGATCATGTTAGAACGCACATTGTTAAAATATATTATCATAGATGATATATCGCACACCCCTAATCTGTACACAAATGAACACTTCTTCAGAATGATTATTTTTGAGTGCCTGAACACTGGCTCCACAAACATCATGCCAGAGTTGTCCACTGACCTTTGCCCCCATCAGCAGATCAGGTGAGCGGTACCACAGAGTGACCACCACAGGTGTGTAGGGCTTGAGCGGAGAGCCGTACTCTCGAGCCAAACCAAAGTCTCCAATCTACAAAACACAGTCACATCTCAGTTAACCTTCCAAATCACACATCATTAAAGAACACTACTAGTAGAGCAAAACATATAACACCCTGCGCAGCTGATTATACAAACAAGCTGCTATGTGCAGTGTTGAGGGAATGCATTACAAGTAACGCGAGTGACGTAATCAGATTACTTTTTTTAAAGTAACTAGTAAAGTAATGCATTACTTTTTAATTTAGAAGGAAATATCTGAGTTACTTTTTCAAATAAGTAACAGCAGTTACTTTGTTTCCCATTTATTGGCTGACAGCTCGTGTTGCCATGTGGAGAGAAATCGTGTGAACATGATCTTACTGTAGTTCTAGACTAAATATGAACATGCATTTACTCCTTCAGCCTGAGGCGTATTCATTTCACTTTTGGTGTGAAAGGGCTTTTACATTTGTAAAATAACTTTTTTTTATACTAAAACCAAACAAGCAAGCCTTGCCCAGATTTAAAAAGTAACTCAAAAGTTACGTAACGCATTACTTTCCATAAAAAGTAACGCAATTAGTTACTTTTTTTAGGGAGTAACGCAATATTGTACTGCATTACTTTTAAAAGTAACTTTCCCCAACACTGGCGATGTGTAACCCGTGAATTCAGCGGACGATGACTGACCTTTAGAATGCCTTTGTGGCTCAGCAGCAGGTTGGAGGTCTTCAGGTCACGGTGAAGGATCCAGTTGTCATGGAGATGACGGACACCTCTCAGCAGCTGGATCATCAGCGTTTTGACCTCACCTGTGCAGGAAACAGAAGAGATGTGAGTGAAGCGCCTCATTATGGCAAGGATGAGTAATTCAGTATGCTTTAGTGCGGTCAGGGTCGTACCGGGCAGGAAGGGCTGTTTCATGGTCTCCATTAGACTCTTCAGATCATGCTCCACGTAATTCATCACAATGTAGATTTTATCCATGTTACTGCCCACGACGATCTCCTACAGCAGGCAGAAAGCACATGCAGGAGAGATTCAGCGACACCCGAAACACACCATTAATGGGAAGCCATTTAAAATCCTGTTCATTATAACAGGATAACATCTAAAATAATTAGTGTTAAGTATGTATAAGCTATTAAATAATTAAACCCACCAAAAGTGAAATTGTCAGGGTTTCAGCAGGTTTTATGAATTTAAGATTTTAAGATCAAATAAAGAAAATGCATGGAATAAACTGAAGGGAATACAAGAATCAATATGGTCTCTAAATGTCTTGTATTAGCAATGAAAGATCTTACAACAGATCTCCATTACGTTTTAATTAAAAAAAAATTATTATTTTCAAAAGTTGCATGGAGCGCAAATTAAATCAAGATACATTTACTTAAGAAGCAAAAGGACAAGTCTTGTTTTCTGAGAAACTGATCAAAGTTTTTTATGATTAAAACAAGAACAAATATCTGTCAATGGTTTCAGAAAAAAATTACTTCAACCAAAGGGAAATTTTCATAATACCCCACTGGCAGATATTTGTTAAACTCTCTTCATTTTCACTTCATTCAATTTTTGAAATAATCATGCTTGCAATGCATGCAACATTTAATGCCCTGAATTTCAGACTTTTCAGCTTTTTGTAAGGCCTTAAATTGAGGAAGGGCGAATTAAACCTTTGTGGAAACCCTGACAGAGATATTTTTACACAGCTGTGGGTTTACAGTAGAGGTTAGATTGTTTCTGACCCGGACGGTGACGATGTTGGGGTGCTGGGCCTTCAGGATGGTGTTGATCTCTCTGAGGGAGGTGATGGGAAAGCCCTCCTTCTCCTTCTCCATCTTCAGTCGTTTCAGGGCCACAATTTCATCAGTCTTCTTGTCTTTGGCTCTGTAGACGACGCCGTAAGTGCCTTCTTCAATGCGGTTCAAGCACTGGAACTCCTCCACGCTCCGGCAGCCCTGCACACAGCAGGACATCAGGTCACACACCTGCGCTGGAGTGAGCGTGAAAGCAGTAGGGATGCTTGCAATTCTCAATATAATATCGAACCGTTCGGTACGACATCCACGGTTCAATACGCGCTTGTGAACTGCGGTTTTTTGGTTTTGCGTTTAAATAATATCCGTGTGTTTTATTTCTCTCAGAATTGGCTGTGTGTGTGTGTGTGTGACATGCAATGATAAGCCTTTCTAAACCTGTTGTCCAACAAAAGAGAACATTATAACTTGTTTTTACTTCACAACATTAGTTGAGTGTTTGAAATAACTTCCTGATGTGGCTTCTTATCACAGAATGAGGTAGAAAATATATTCTATACTGTAATAAAAGCTATGCCGATTAGAAATGGCTTACAAATATACTTAATCATTATGAAAATACCAGAGATGGTTTGAAGAACACAGATGTGTTCCTTATATTGTCTCAGGCGAGTGTTTATTGTCCTTACATTTCATCATTCAAAACGGAGCCTGAATGTTTTTCCGGGGCGGGGGGTTGAGGATGGGGCAGCACATGCAAAGCATGCAATGACTGTGGCAACTTTAACATTTGAAAGGATACTAC